AGTTCTCTCTGGGTATCAGTCTGGCTTTGTTGATCCATTGTTTAACTTCATCAGGTGGATATTTTAGTTCCATAAAGGTTTGCTGTAGGTCTCAAGAGTTGCTGATGAGAGCCTGCAGTTGAGCTGGAGCAACCAGCTCAAACCTCTTCATATGCTGAGCTTATCAGGCAGACTGGAAGAGAAGAAAGGTTGATCAACTAGTTCCTCCCAAGGTGTGGGAAGTATATAGCTAAGCCTGGCAGGACAGCTTACTCTGTGGTATTAACCTCTTCATGTATTAATTAGACCTAAGCATGTTTGTTATATGAGGTGGGTTATCCATTTCTGTTTCCTCTAGCTTTGTTTGGCCAGCCACCTTAGCCACATGGAAATGGAATTGTCTCTAAGACCCAGGAACTCACTGTTCTAAAAGAAACCCAACCACAATTTCTGGCTATGTCACACTGTGCAAAACATTAGATAACTCCCATGCACCTGCCAATTTTCTTCCTTCATTTCTTTTAGTTATTTGATAAAATCTTTCTTTTAAGTTGAATTTACTTTGATGCAATTAAGTAAGGGGCTTTGGTGTTTGCTATTTTTCTAGGTTAGTGTGAAGCTAAAGGTGTGTGGGTTTCACTTTTAAAAAATAACATGTATGTTTATGCAAAATAAGAATCTTGCCTCCAGTAATGTAGTAGAGAAGCTGAAATGGGAACTCTAGTTCCAGGCTGCCTTAAAACAAGCCAGTATCAGACTTGAGGGAGAATTTCCTCAATACATTTGCTCAGTACACATTTGCTTAGTGGCAAGCTCTGCAAATGATACGTCCTAATATTAGTACAGATTATACATCCTAAACTGAAAGGCTGGATGTTAACAGTATACTAAAGAAATATGAGTACACTGTTTCTTACTCTTTACAAATATCTTCGTTATTAGTCTAAGAAAAAACAGTAGGAAGCATTTAGGGATTAATTTCACTTTTAGCATTCCTGGTTGAGATGTCCTAGTAGTTTATGACATGGATTCTAAAATATATGCTGTGTTATTACTAGAATTTAAAACTGACTCATACTTTTCTATGGAAGAGGATTCCTCCCCATGTGGCTGTTTGCACAGTCTCCTTAATCTAGCTCTTTCTTGCAAGCACAGGCGCTCCAAAGCATTTTCCTTTTCTACAAGTAGGTCCCTGTTCATTTTGACAGAGCAAAAATTCTACCTTTTCAAAAGGAGCCTCTTCCACTTATATGAATGGTGAAATTTGCTCACATGAAAACTTCATATATCAGAGAACCTATGAAACTCCGAATCAGAGAGTACACATTGAGCATGTAAACTTGCTTTATAGGATTAATTCTAGGATTCTGTGCTTCTGTGAAGTGACTCAGCAAAGGGTATTTTACTGGGATTCCAGTGTGCTGGAATATATTCCATTTGCTTCAATGTAGGCACTGTGAATGTGTCACTTACCCATTTAAGTCATATTTGTTTCATTCCAATCCTACAATTGAAGATGACAAGATCATTTGACATGTCAGATATTGTTGAGAATATTTACTGCTAGATAGATTCCATTTCTAGTGCTTTTCCATATATTTGCTTAATCTAATAAATCATCTAGATGTGATGTTACTGCTGCCATATAAATAGCTTAGGCTGGCCTAATGGGTGCAAGTTTTAAAAAGAAACTTCTCAACGATCATGTGCATTGTTCACTTTGGCTTCTTAAAAAGCATTTCTGGGAACTTGATAATGACTTTTCCTTATTTTGTATCTATCGTGAATGGGAACCTATAGAGTTTCTAAAAACAGTTTAGTAAAGTATATGAGCCTCATCACTAAAATGACAGCAATTGCAAGGTACAGTGGTACCTCGGGTTACAGATGCTTCAGGTTACAAACTACGCTAACCAGGAAGTGGTTGCTCCAGGTTAAGAACTTTGCCCCAGGATAAGAACGGAAATCGTGTGCCAGCAGCACAGCGGCAGCAGGAGGCCCCATTAGCGAAAACACACCTCAGGTTAAGAACCATTTCAGGTTAAGAACGGACCTCTGGAACAAATTAAGTTCTTAACCCGAGGTACCACTGTAGTAAAGTCCAATGAACTTGGTAGCCTGCCTAAATTGTGGGCCCCAGAGCACAACATCAAAGACAAGACTTCTCTTCTAACTAAACAGACAAAGGCAGTACCTTGTCTCTGAGAACACACTGAGCTTCAGAGTTGCTTAAAGGCAGCAAAAAGCCTCAGTGATTTTTGAGTCCCTCTGAAGCTCATGGACTCCCTAATCCCCATTCCCCAATCCTCCCTTGCTTGCTCACTTCCTTCCCTGCCAATAGTGCACATCCCAGTCTGTTCCTGGGCCCCATGAGAGGTTCTGCTTTGGTTCCGCTTTCTCCTTGACATCTCCTTTCTTCAGTTCTATCTCACCACGAGCCATAGTTTCCTTAGGCACCTATTTTTAGCCAATTGCCTGCCTTGCCCAATTTCCTCCAGCAATCTTTTTTCTCCCTTTCCAATAACATCCAGTCCCTCCTGTGCTTTGTTAGGAGATTTCTTTGCACCTGTCCTTGCTCCAGTTTCCTGTCTCCGATGCCGTGTAATGTCGTCAATTCTGGACAGTTTTTAATGTGAGTTGGACTCTTATTTGCTCCAGCTTAGCCAGCAAGGGGGGAGCCTTTTTCAACCTGCAGACTGCATTCCCTTGTGGGGCTGCCGAATGTGGGTGGGACCAGACGAACGAAATGGGTGGGACAGCATATGTGAGTCTTCTCTGTAGAGTAGGCTACATTCCAGCCAGGCAAATGTGAGACATTTATACAGCCCCCCACATCTCTCCATCTATGCAGACAAGAGGCATTGTCACTACTCAAGGAAACTTTCCAACCAGGCAAAATTACTGGAAGAGCCAGAAAGGAGTGTGGTTTGGGGAGAGGAGATGTGGCCTGGGGACATTTATGAGAGTCAGATAGAGAGGTCTATTGGGCAGCATTCAGTCCCCAGCTTGATTTTTATTTTATTTCGTAAAATTTATGTACTGCTTGATTGTACAGAAAAACCTCAACGTAGTTTACAGAAAGGGATGGTCTCCATCCCTGAGCTTAGCCAACCAATGTCAGAAGCAGGCATAGGCAAACTCCGGCCCTCCAGATGTTTGGGACTACAATTCCCATCATCCCTAGCTAACAGAACCAGTGGTCAGGGATGATGGGAATTGTAGTCCCAAACGTCTGGAGGGCCGGCGTTTGCCTATGCCTGGTCAGAAGCTTCAGAAGGTAGAAGCACTAAACAAAATAGGCTTTAAAGCACTTCAATGGGAAAATGCTATGCAGCTAATAGCTATGTTTTAATAAATTAGCTGGCTGTCATTATTCTCTAATCAACAAATAAGCGGTGCTTGCAAAAGGTAGCCTGTTTAGCAGTAGATGGCTGCCTTCAGTTGACTGATTAAGGAAGTGTGGTTTCTTACAGAGTAAAAACATGAGTGATGTATTGAGCGGGGGGTGTTAAAAGGTGGGTCACCACTTTCTTTGCCGATAATTCCTGTGCTCAATATATTTTTCATGCTTGCTTACTAATGTGGCCCTACAGCAGTCCCCATCCTGTAAGGATAACAAATTAGCCATCTGATACAGAACAGCTTTATCCTGGACATGGAAATGTTTTCATCTGCCAAATAAAACATAAATCTTATCCTCTGTTTCTTTGACAAACTGCTTAATAAGCTTTTTCAAGTACTTTTGTCTGCTGAAGCTAGCTCACGAACCCTCAAATCATTTCAAACCAACACAAGTGTAATGCTGATAACCTGGAAGCTGATTTCTGTTGGAAGTTGTGTCACTGTACATCTGTTTTGAGTATACTTGTTCTGACCCTGACTATTGTGAGGCCTTGGGGCAAGTAACTCTGTGTGTGTGTGTGTGTGTGTGTGTGTGCGCGCGCGTGCGCGCGCGCCCACAAACACACACACGTATTAAAATCCTACCTACACAGATCATCAAAAGCATGGTCAAATGAAAATGGTTTTAGAATGCTTCAGAAACATGCTTGATTGGAGTAAGTCTCCATCAAATGGCAGCTGCATAGGTCCTGAGTCCGGAGTCAACAATTTTAAAGTGATTTAAAGGTGGCATGATAGCGTAACTGTTTCCCATGGAGGGGAGGACTAGGAATGTGGCATGTGCACTCCCTCCTCCCTTCACACGCACTACAGCAGGCTTCCTCAAACTCTGCCCTCCAGATGTTTTTGGCCTACAACTCCCATGATCCCTAGCTAGCAGGACCTATGGTCAGGAATGATGGGAATTGCAGCCTGCACAACCTGTTTGATCAGAGACCACTGTACAATCGGAGGTGGGCGATGTTCATGCAAGCAGTGACTTCTGCAGCAGCATCCCATATTCAATTCTCTGGAGAGAAAGAAAGAAAAATTGACTTCAACTTGACATTGGAGATTTATGTTTGGATAATCTGGCATCTTTTTATTTGATGAAAAGCAGAAGTAGGGGGAAGGCAGAATTTTAAAATGGGCCATATGGTGGTTGGTAAAAAGGTTCATCCTAAAACATGCACCCCATGTCATTTCCCCACCTTATATTGCTCCTCCCCAAGCTGCTGTTAGTTGTAGAGGTGAAAAAGACGGTTCAACACAGTACAATCTGCACAATCCCATGCAAGTGCTACCTGTCCGTAGAAAACAAAAGCATATAAGAGAGAAATGTTCCAGGTGTGCCATCTCCCAGAGGAGCTACTTTTCTATGTGTAGGGAGTTGGGGTGGTGGTTTTTTGTGTGTGTTTTTTTGCAATCTTCTCCCTTATCCCTTGTGTTATATGAAAATTCAATCTTTTTTAAAGCTTTTGATGTCACATGCAATGCAATCCTTTAGATTTTACAAAAAACCAATTATATTTCAGCTTCTTGAAATTGAATTAAGCCAATACTGACAAGTATTTGCTTCTGTTTTCTGTACTGCTGACTTCACTGGCTGTATTTCTTATTTGTCCCCCCCCCCCTTTTAGGAGTCTGTCATGATTGTTGTCTTTGGTTTGGAGTTTATCATGCGCATCTGGTCTGCTGGCTGCTGTTGTCGGTACCGTGGATGGCAGGGAAGGCTGAGATTTGCAAGGAAACCGTTCTGTGTAATAGGTAAGTTTTTTAACCATGGCTAACCTTGTTATGAATTACAGCATTGTCACAGAAGGATAGGACTCCACTGGCTATTATTTTTAATTCAGATCCTAGATTACATTTGGCTATGCCTTTGATGGGTACATGGATTGTCCATAATCACTAATAGAAAAGAAAAAAATCTTGCCCTGGAATTAATATATGCATCTGGTCAGATAGATTATGGTGGCCTGCAGGCAGGTATACCTGGAAGAAGCAGGTTATCTAGTCACGTTTCAGCCAGTCACAATTTTAGCACCAAAACAGTCTTGGTCACCCTGATCAATGACGTTGATCAGAGGCACGGGAATGCAACTCTATTGGTTCTCCATGATCTCTTAATGATGGTGGGGGGAACCTTCATCCTGCAGGCCTAACTTAACCCAGCATTTGTTTTATTCAACAACATTTATATACCACTTGATTGGAATAGAGCGTCTAAGCTGTTTACAAGAAATATTTGGCCTAGGAGGTCGTTCCCCCCCAAACAGCTCCCACCTGCCCTGCATCTGACATCACCTTGGTCTTCAGCTTATGAGTTGGGACCCACAGCCTGATCCAAGGTGGGTCACAGCAGGAACAGTAGCACCATACCAAGATATGATAAAAGAAATGGGCTCCCAAATGTAAAAGTAGGTCCTGCTTCAAAGTGTGCTCCTGGTTGTGCATTGGCAAGAGAGGCTTGCTGAACTGGCACTAAGAACAAACCACCTGGGATCAGTGTTTCCATGGGGATCTCCATTGTGCAGCCAATTCTAGCAGAAGGTGGAGCTTGAAGTCAGCACCTTTTAGCTGATAGGCACGGAGTTCAACACTCTGGGATTGGCCGTGCTACAAAGTTCCCCCTAGGCAACTCCGAAGCCAGCTGACCCTTGAAGGAGCTTGCAAAGGGCCAAGTAGAGCTCTTGTAAAGCCCTTCGTCCCTTGCAAAGAGCCCTCCCTACTCAGTGCTTTGAAGCAGTGCACCAAAGCAATGCACACAACTTTGTTTTTAGCCTCGCCTAGCCATAGAGCAAATATTTCAGAATCAAATGTCCCAGGAAACATGAATGTCATGCAAGAGAGATTCATTCAAGGAGATTAATTCATGTTTGTTCAGTTTATGCAGATCTGTTTCCTCCTCTGGCTTGGGGACTTTTCAGGGGCAAAATACTCCCCTTCAGACTATATATGTCACACCAGCATTAGGTATGGAAGGAACAAAATGAGAAAGTGGCATCTAAGAAATTAATAGTATCTCTGTTGATGCCTGCTCTTAGGGTAGTGTAATGGTTCTAGGGGTTGCTCGTGCGTAAGTTGCCGCCACTCCTGGCTAGGTTACCTGGTTGAACCCTTTCTGTCTGGACAGCCTCAAGTTTCGTGGCTGTCTCAGTCGCTGGCAGAATCCGTCAGTGGGCGTTTCTTGAACCTTTTCCAGCATAAAAGCTCTTTGACGCCAAGTCTCCTCCTACTCTCCCTGCACGGAAGTCTTCTTTTTAGGTTATAAGTTGTGAGGATACTTAGTTTGCCTTCAACTGGGCTTTTTTCTCGTATTGTTTCATTGTTTACTGCCCAGGGCTTCATTGGGAGGAATTTTAATTTTTATCAAACAAACAAACAAATAAAATAGTTGTCATTACTGATGTCATAGATCGCACATAAGATGGTATATGATTTCATTTCCACAAGCAGCCTGTGAATACCCCAAGTATTTGTGACTTCTAGGTTCATTGGCTTTAAATTCCAGATTTTACCAGGACAATGGAATCTCTCTCTCTCCATCAGCACTCTTAGTTGCATTGGTTATCATTTGGCTTTAATCTTCATAGAACATAGGGAGCTGCCTTATACCAATTCAAACTACCCAGTGTGGTATTCATTATCCATATGCCTCAGTCTTCATTATCTATCTAGCTCAGTACTGTTGGCAATGATTGGCAGCAGCTCTCCAGGGTTTCAGACAGGAGGTCCTCTCAGCCCTACCTAGAGGCACCAGGCATTGAACCTGGCATCTTTTGCATCTGAAGCATGTGTTCTATCGTTGAGCCGAGGACCTTGCCCCATGAATCGCTCTGTTAGTAGAATGTGAAGGGAAGCAATTTTCCATGATCCCCTCCCACAGTAAATCTACCAAAGAACAAAATAAAATAAAATAGGGATTAAGAGGTTTTCTCAGTATGGTGGAGCGTGTGTATACTATATCCCATTAGTGTAGTCGTGGTGGAAATGCTTTGTGGGATGTGTGTGCAAAAATGGGGGGATCGAGGATGGTCAGTTGTTGGGGGGGGAGTGAGAAATGGGGTGTGTTATCATCTCTGATCGAACAGGCTTTTGAAACATTTCCTGTAAAAGTCTCTGTAAAACCTGTGAACAGAGAGAACAGTGGGGTGAGCAGGCACACTATGGGCAATGATGCCTCCATTATATCACTTTGGAAAATAAAACAATAATCTGCCTTTACAATCAACCTCAGAGTGTTTCTTTCCTTTGCCATATTTTCTGATGCAAAATGCTGCTATCAACGTGTTTTCTGGATTTGAGAACAGGGAGAGAGATTCTGATGAGATAGTTAAGACTGCACCTTTGATTGTACCCCAGATTATAATTTATTGGTAAGGAACCGTGATTTTGAAAGACCATGTGTACTTGTGAGCCTTTTTTTATTCCACTTTTTGCTCAAGTCTGAATTTTTTGGCTAGTGTTCTGAACTGTTATTAGTTACTGTAAGAAGGCAGAGCCATAACCATTCCATTTCTGGGTAGTCCCACTAAATTTAGCAAAATTATTCTGGAGTAAATGTTTTGTTGATTTGCACACTTAGGCCACAATCCAGCTAAGAGCAGCATATGCATCAATTTCACTCGTTCTGAATTTCTGCCTAAGTCCCTTCCTTGGCGATTTATAGTTTTCCACATTATATCTCTCTCACTTAGTAGCTGGTGTGCAATCGTTTAGAGGGTTCAGCCCAGAAATTCCTGAGCAGAATTATCCACTAGATCACAGACAGCCCCTTTCATAAGGTGGCCTTCCATGAACAGAAGGACTTCTTATATCTGTGCAAGGGCTGATCCAAAGTGGAATGCTAAGATTGGGGAGTCATGGGCTTAATTCATATTGCTAGAGATTTGGGGTAAACCCTAGAAATGAATAAATGCCAGGATTTGGGGTTCTTTGTGATACGCAGGGAGAATATAAGCTGCAAGGGGATTCCTGGGCTGGCTGAGGGAAAAGCAGAGCTGTTAGCATTACAATAGCCATTGAGGGTCTTCAACAACTCCTTGTCCCAGGTGTGACCAGAGACTAGAGATTTGGAAGGTTGCCAGGGTAACTTCTCTGGGGGAGGGCTCTGGCTTCTGAGAAGAAGAAAGGGTAGATCCATCTTGGTGAGGGTGAAGGAAGGACTGCCTGCAAAGCTCTGGGCCATGCTGTAAGATCTGAATCCCCTCCAAGCAGACGAAGGGTGTAAATAGGTGAATAAACCCTATTTCTTAAAGCACAACAGTCTCCACTGTGTCTTCTACCCTCAAAGGGGACACAAGACCCCGTGTGTGTGCCTGAGATCCCATGCACCTTTGCCACGGCTTGGCAGAGAGAGGAACAAGCGCCGGGCTTTTGTAAAACTGGTGTTAGAAGTGGGATCTGTGTTTCCTGGAGAGAAGGCCTAGGAGTCAAAAATGGAGGAAGGAATAACAGCAGTCCTTGAGCAGTTGAAGCTGATGCATGAGCACCAAAGGCAACAATGGGAGTGGATGCGAGATGACCATGAGCAGCAGATGTAACAGCTGAAAGTGTGGGGGAGAAGTCTCCAGGGAGAACAAAGCGTGACTCCATGCCAAGAGCCAGCGGTGGAAGAAAAAGATACCAAGCTGGCTGAAGCTGAGGAGGGGCTGCTGATTGATATCTCTCTTACTCTTGGGGTGCAAGTGGTAGAAGAAGAAAGTGCCCCAAGAAGCTACTCCTGATTGACCCTTGGAAACCAGCTGTGGAGGATGGCGAAGAGGACGAGAAATTGGAGGTGCCTGAGAACTTGCAAGGGGTACTGCTATTCGATCTTTCTACTTCTTGGGTGCCTGCTGTGGAAAAAGAGGTGCAGGACAAGAAGGGCTGGCTGGCTGAGTTGCTACTGATACTGCCTGGCACGCTCTTGGGGTCAGTATCTCTCAGCCTAACCTTCCTCAACAGACAAAATGAGGGACAACCATTCCTAGCTGTTCTTGGAGGCGGCTGCGGGAATGCAGATGTAATAAACAAAATAGATTAAATATGAACATGCCTGACACAGACAAGGCTACAAATGAGCCTCTCACTTACCTTGCTCATGACGGTGCTAAATTTTTGAAATATTAATTTCTAATTAAAAGCATGATACATTCAGTTTTGAGTGTCAGGCTTTGTTTAAGCAAGTATAGCATTCCCCCCCCCCTTTAAATAATTGTGTGAATTTAAAGTCCTCTCTACTGACAGAATTGTTGTAGCTAATTAGAAAATTCCATTAGAGGTTATGTGTATATGGGAAAGGTGGTTCTCGCCCCCTGCCCCCCCCTCTTTATACCTCACTAGATAATTGTTACCTTTTCAGATCACAATAGATGAACTTGTAAGTTTGAGCAGCAGTATTCATGCATTTATAATAGCAGAACGGCACGAGAGAACTCTTCTTAAAAGCTTATGATTATGATGCTGGGTGCTTTATTTTAACATGGGCGTTTTAACCACATTCCCAACTTCTTGCTATCATCCCCTACTTGCACCACCTGATATTAAAACAGCTGGCACGTCGGCTGCTGATATTATTATGCCTTTCAATTGGTTGCATTTGTGTTCAAGCGCAAATTTCCTAGGTCAGCTGCTATAGTAAACAGGTGGGGAGGTCAATGTGGACACAGGTGGCTTATATGATAGTACAACAACAAAGCACCACTGAAGGGGGGGAGGACACTGGATGCCCTTGAGAGGTTGAGGCACAGCGGGTTTGTTCCTGGGGCTGAGTTTACTACTGT